AAGAAGAAGAAGAAGAAGAAGAAGAAGAAGAAGAAGAAGAAGAAGAAGAAGAAGAAGAAGAAGAAGAAGCAGCAGCAGCAGCAGCAGCAGCTATGAGTGAGGCCAGCCAAACAGCTCAGTGGATTAAATTGCCTGCAAGCAGGTGCAGGGGCTGGAGTTTCCATCCCCGGGCCTGCCATGACAGACCTGCCCCTGGGGCACGCTGAGACCTATTGGACATGGTGGTGTGCACCTGTAATCCCAGCACTTGGGAGGCTGTAAACAGACAGATCACTATGAGTCTGATCTAGTAGTGAGACCCTGAATACCCTGTAGGCCCTTCCCTAAACTACAAAAAAAAAAATAAATAAATAAATAAATAAGTAAGAAGCTAAGAAAGTAAGATCTAAAAGTGGGGCAGAGGGGAAAGGAAGGGAAAAGGAAAAAAAATTACAACATAATGAAACTACTACTTTCTCTTAGTTCACTGAAAAGAAAGACATGCTAATATTGTTTGGAGAATTTTTTTATGCCCATATCTTATACTCTGAGTAACTATTTTGGATTTTTTTTTTGGGGGTGCCTGGCTCAGAATGCCTTCAGGGCAGGTTTGGCTGGCTTGAGTTCTGGGGATGGAACCACAGCAACCTGAGCCTGACTGCTTTGTTTAAGCAGGCACTTAAATAACTGAGCTAAGTGGCAGGCCCCCTCTGAGTAACTATCTTAAAGCTAACAATATACAATGTATTAACTATTATTATTCTCCTATTTTTTTAACTTTTTCATAAAATAAAATTTACTATTAAAAAACTAAAAGGGTCACCATCATTGTACTTTATAAAATGTCTTACAGTGAAACCTTAACATTTTGTTGTACCTCCATTTAGTTCCCTTTTTGTGTTATTTCCTTGTTCCACTTCACTGTAATGGGGGCTGCTGCCAGGGCTTTGTCCTGCTTGGAAAGTGCTCTACCTCGGAGCCACATCCTCACCCTTCCCTGCCACTCTAGTGATCCATCGGGACATTTCCACCTAACTCACTAGTCTTAACATTTTTTTATTTTTTTAAAGAGTTCAAATTAGAATTAGAACAGAAAAAATTACAAGTGACACAGAATTTCACTTAACAAAGTAATATGAATTTCACAGTATTTGTTATAATGCATAGTGTTGTCTTCCAACCAGTTATTCATATTACCAGATATGGTAAAACTGGAAGAAAAAAGAAATGTATAAGAAATTAAGAAGAGAGAAAGTACAAATAATTGAAAAAAGAAATGAGACAAATTAAGTATTATCTGTTCCTTTCCATAGACCAGCAGAAATGCACAGTACAGTTGTCCAAACCATCCTGCTCACATACATAAATAAATCTCTTTCTTCCACTCCCTCTCCTGTCCTTCTCCTCAACTCAGTAACTCCTTTTTTTTTTTTTAATTTTTTTTTCCTATCACAACTTTTCTTTCTTCTTTTTTTTTTAATGTTTATTTATTTATTTATTTTGTGTGTGTGGCCAGCTCAGCCCACCAGGGGGCGGGGCTGGCTGGCATGTGGGGCTGGGGGATTGAACCGCGGTCCCTGGGTTTTGCTTAGCTTAGCTTGTTCTAAGTAGGTGCTTCAGGTCACTGAGCCATCTCACCAGCCCCAACTCTTTCCTTTTGAATAAGTTCAATCCCTTTCCCCAGTATCTATTGCACCCTTCAGATTCCATTTTTCTCTTTTAGGTTCTTACACTAAGGAGACAACATGATGTTCACACATGTAGGTCTGATTTATTTCATTTAAGAGTGTGTTCTCTAGTCGCATCCATTTACCAACAAAAGACTCGAATAATCCTACAAAGAGTATTGACAGGGCTGGCGAGATCGAGATAGCTCAGTGGTCTAAAGCGCCTGCTTAGAAAAGTTTAGGCAAGCTTAGGCAGGTGCAGGGGACAGCAGTTCAATCCCCAGCACCACATGCTGCACCAGCCCTGCCCTCAGGGTGGGCTGAGTAGGCCAAAAATAAATAAGTAAAAAAACAAAAACAAAAACAAACAAAAAAACAACAAAGAGTATTGACAGATATTCTAGAAAGAGACAGAAGTGATCACAGCTTCAAAAACAACAGAAAGGAACCACCACACAGAGCAAGCAATTAAAAGAGGAAAAAAAATACAGAACTTATAGCAAGAAAATAACATGACGAAGATAAGCCAATATGTGTCAGTTATAGCCATCAATGTAAACAGCCTCAATTCACCGATCAAAAGAAACACACTAGCACAGTGGATTAAGAAACAAAATCCAGGGGCTGGTGAGATGGCTCAGTGGTCTAAAGCACCTACTTAGAACAAGCTTAGCAAAGCA